TTATTTTGATATATCACAGTGAAAGATTTATCGTCCTCTTTTTTTTTTTTTTTTTTTTTTTTTTTTTAAAAAAAAAAAAAAAAAAAAAAAAAAAAAAAAAAAAGCTGAGTATGGCAGAGTCCGTCTGTGATCCCAGCACTGGGGAAATGGAGATGGGTGGATCCCTGGGAAAGACCCAGCCTCAAAAACCAGAGTGGAAGCAGGTCGATGAGATGGCTCATGACCTGCTTTTGTTGCCAAACATGACTCCCTGAATTCAATCCCTGGATCCCACATGGTGGAAGGAGAGAACTGAGTCCCACAAATTGTCCTATGACTTCCACATGTGTACCTTGGTATACACACACACACACACACGACCAGAACCACATAACAATTAAAAATTTTAAAAAAATGATGGGGAGTTATCACAGATGACACCTCTAGTCTCTATATAAGTACCCATATACATACATGCACACCTGCAATCCCCCATAAAACACATACATACACCACACACACCTTCATAAGAACATGTACATACACCACACAAAAATGTACATATATATATCACACATACCCATATGAACATGTACATACACCCCTACACTTGTGCTCAAATCTCCTTTCAGAGGTTGATATTTCATCACTTTTGTGATGAACAGTATATCCAGAAGACTCTAATAGGAGTTCAGAGAGGATTTTAACCATATTGCTTCATTGGGGAAAGTCAACCCCCAAACATTTGAAGAAGTTTTGTGTTTCTTTCCTTAGAAATGTTCAGTCTAAGTGACAGCAGACCCTAATCTTAGCTGAAGAAATATTGGCAACTGATTTCTGCTGGGTGAGGAAGAGCTGATCTTCCTGAAGCAAGGGACTCTGGATAGGCCAACTAGACCTCAGTACACGAACTTGCACTGAGAAACGTTTGGAAACACTAACTTGACACAATAGGCCTTAACATAAATGACAGAATGTATGAATTCCAGTAGGGGGCTATGGGATGGTACCAGTGGGGGATATGAAGATGATTAAGATTGACTGAGATGTTCTGTATGAAATACACAAAAATTCAATAATTTTAAAAAAGAGAAATGTTCAGTCTATGAGCTTTTTGAGACAGGTGCCCACCGGAGCAGTAGAGGGGAGCCACTGAGATCTGGTCCAGAACAGCATGTCAGCAGTGGGCCTGGCATCTCAATCTCTGCTAGCACATTGGTAGACAAGGGTGTGTGAATTTTACTGATTTGCATCTTTCTATAAATGCGAAGGGGAAGTGAACACGTATATGTATATGTTTACATACTTGGAAGAGATTAGCAATCTAGATATAATATATAATACTTAACATAGTCTTCTAGGTATCAGGCAGAGGACTGGGTGCTGTGAATCAAATCATCTTCCAACAGTCCTTAATTCCAAGGACTCACAGTTGGATGATACGATATGTTTATATTAGCTAGGCTATTTAAAAAATTTATTTATCTGCGTGTGTGTGTGTGTGTGTGTGTGTGTGTGTGTGTGTGTGTCTGTGTGTCTGTGTGTCTGTGTAGTAGGTGACTTTGGAGTCTAGAAGAGGGCATTGGATTCCCTGGAGCTGGAGTTACAAGCAGTGATATGTCATATCACATGAGTGCTGGGAAGTAAACTCAGGTCCTCTGCAAGAGCAGTACCTATAAGCAGCTGAGCCATATCTAAAGCCCCTGGTTAAAATATTTTATTCATTATAAAACAAGACTTTGAGCAGAAATAAACATTGGTGCACCATGTGTAAACATGGTCATCCACCAATACTGCCTGTCAGGCTTTTTTGGCACATGTTTTTCATGTTGAAATCAGAGGGAAGACTTGGGAGTCCTCCCTGGCCTGCCTCCAGCCTGCCAGTGTGCATGATGAAACGATTAAGGTCAACAGGACCAGAGAGCATCTCTTTCCAGGCATCTGAGAGCAGTGGTTTTTCATGCCATATAGAATAACAACACTGTAGCCTCTTATGCTTTCGAAGTCAGCCCTGGTTATATGTCATGCAGAAATGCATGCCGGTGTTTCTTCTGGACTCTGTCTGCCTCTGCTTGGTGTCCTCCAATGGTCACTTGCGTTCACATCTGGGGAATGTGTGTCCCTCACAGATGGCTTATTTGGCATTCCTCATGCTGTTCACTTACACGGTACTGGTAGAGATGCAGCCCCAACCCAGCGTGCAAGAGTGGCTTGTCATCATTTATATCTTCACCAATGCCATTGAGAAGGCCAGGGAGGTGAGTGCCCTTCAACCAGTGTCGTCTACATGCCTCTGGAAGGGGTTCTTGGCCCTGGGGATGAAAATGGCCATGTCAACTGTGTGAGGGAGAGGACATGCTGATTCTGATTTGCTATAAGATTACTTAGGGAAAAATATGTCCTTGATTCTTGTCAAATGTGTTTTGCTGGACTTTGGAACACAGTTCTAGTGTGTCCATCTGCCAACGAGCAATAGATGATGCCATCTTTTGTTATTAAAGTCTCCCACTGCTTGCTGCCCATGGAGGAGCTTTCTGTGCTGGATGGATTTTTAACGCCTAGCATTATCAGGTTCACATCCCAGAGTGACACATGAATGACTCGTGGCATCCAAAAGTTCCTACTAAAACCTTGGAAAACTGAAGCTGGAAATCCAGAAGGATTTCCAAAACAAAACCACATTTTAATTTCTAGTTTGCAATTAGTCACCCTTAAAGCTTAGCCTTCTTTTGTTGTTGTTGTTTTTTGTTATTTGGTTTTTGAGACAGTGTTTCCTTGTAGCCCCAGCTGGCCTGGAACTTGACCAGGCTGGCCTCCATTTCACAGAGAGCTGCCTGCCTATGCCTTCCCAGTGTTAGTATTAAAGGCATGTGACACCATGCTTGGCCCTTTTTGTTGGTTTGTTTTTTTTAATTTAGCA